AAAAAAAAAAAAAAAAAAAAAAAAAAAAAAAAAAAAAAAAAAAAAAAAGAAGGAAAAGAAAAATCAAAAGAACCAGAAATAGCAAAATAAATAAGAGTCAGAAGGGTTGTGTATTGCTTAATTTATAGGAATAAAGAAAGAATAACTTAAGAATGATTTCCTACGCAGGAGCCCTCAGAGCATCTGTGTCTTATGCAGGACAAAAAGGGACAGAACTTTTCAGAGCAGAACGTTTTTCTGCAGTCAGATCAGAGGAACCAGGAGTGGAACCCAACACCAGAAGCTGCCATTAGAAAATTATCAGAAAATCTATTCAAAATTGTGTTTTGTTTTGTTTTGTTTTGTTTTGTTTTGTTTTCTCCAGAAGAATTTTCAACAGGAAAATCTTAACCCAAAGGAATTCCTCCATCTGGCTCCACACCGACTCATGAGCAGCACCCCAGGCTCACCCATCCTTGTCTTTTTTAAGGTAAAAAAAGAAAATTGCAAAATTGTGAAGCCTCACAGCACTTGGAATGTTCTTTGCACCCTTTGAAGGTGTTTCCTCTCCTCCTGCATCCCTTAAGGAGTTTGGGAACACACACCCCATAGCCCTGTGACCTTTGGGATCTCAGACCTGGCTCTCCTTGAACTCTGCCCATCTCTGGCTCCATCTCAGGGTTTGCAGCACATTCAAATGTTTTTAGACCCCAATTCCTCCGCCTTTGCCTTCGACAGCTGATCTCGAGGGATGGATAATCTCATTTACGTCTGTTACTACAAATCAAAACAGCAGCAAATTAAATGGATCTGAAGGCCRAGATGAAAGGCTCCAAACACATGGGAAGTGCCTGTAATGCAAAGAGCTGTAAATGTAATTTATTTTTTTTTTTCTGAGGGATAGAAAAGCCCCACACAGATGCTGTTCCTGTACCTCAAAAGCAAAGACAGAATCATGGAATTATGGAAGAATTAAGGCTGGAAAAGTTCTCTAAGATCAAATCCAACCATTAACCCAGCCCTGCCAGATCCTCACCATGGTTGGAAAAGGAAAAAAAAATAGGAAATGAGTTTGATCATCACCGTTTTCCAGCTCTGGGAGATGCCTTTATGGCCATCTGAGGGTGGCTGAGGTTTAGGCTGCTCAAAGGGACGGAGCCCCGGGTGCTGCTGGTTCCCAGGATGGGATTGTGGGGATGTCCCGGCCCCTCTGAAGCTTCTCCAACTTCTTTTCCATCAGCCCTGATGGAGATGGGACATTGGATGTCACCAGAGCCCTCCTGTGCCGCTGCATCCCCCGGGCTCAGACCCAAAATCCTGCGTGGCCTTGCAGGGGATGGAGTACCCAAAACTCCCACACAAATCCTGCAGGATCCTGAGCAATCACAGAGAAAAGATATTGATGTGAAATTCGTGTTGGAAATGTCATTGTGGATGTCCCCATTCCTGGAATTCAAGCTCCAAACCCCTCTGACCGTATTGTTCTTCCCTAATTCCACGGTTCCCTGCGCTCCCGGCTGGATTGCGGACTCTGTGATGGGCAGAACCTTTTTTTTTTTTTTTTTTGGGAGCTGCTGCTGCCTGGGCAGCATTTCCCGAGCTCCAGCTGCCCTCTAGAGCCCAGCTCCGAATGTTCTGGCAGAGCGCAGCCAGCAGATAGCAGCATCGGAATAGAAATGAACCTCCTGCAGGAGCCGCGGTGTGCGCGAACCGCGCTCTGACCTCCCTCCCATTTAATAATTCATAGATAACCGCTAATTAATGACCGCAAACAGCACAAGGAGCTGCTTCTCCCCTACTCTGTTCGGCTCTGAGGGGTTCGTGTGCTCTCACCTGGGTGGGCTGGACTGTTTTTATTGGGAAAGGGATGGAAAATCCAGCCCGGGGACGTGGTTAATGAGAATTAATCAAAACTTGTTTGCTCTGATAAACTGGGCTGCAGCAATGCACAGAGTAACCTCCAACTCAAAGCAGAATTTTATGGCAGCTCAGACAGGAAGGAGTTCCTTCATTTCTGGAAAAATCTTTGATTTCAGCCTGCAGAAGGATTTGGGGGCTGCTTGGATGGATGGCAGAGCTCCTGCTTCTGTTCCAGGCTGGGGAATGAACTTGGCATTTAATGGCAGTGTTGCACTTAAAATTACTTTATATTTATATTTATATTTATATTTATATTTATATTTATATTTATATTTATATTTATATTTATATTTATATTTTAATCTATATCTATATTTTCATATTTATCTATATCTATATCTATATCTATATCTATATCTATATCTATATCTATATCTATATCTATATTTATTTTTTTCCATTTATA